GTTTCACACAGTATTGTCGATGCGGTATACAAGTCCTTGCATGATTAAAAATATTGAATATAATGTTCTCTTTACATGATATGGTGAGGCGAAAAACAAAGATTACAGTAGTCATAGAGACAAGCTGGTGTTTGCAGTTACGAAAGTGAAAACAAAGAATCAACAGGACCATAAATATAATAGAAATAATAAAAGTAAAACTTGAAGGTATATAAGGATGGATGGAGGAGATTGTTTATTTACTAGATGAAAAAAGGTTAGTCAATTCTTGCCTGACACTATTTTCATCACATAAAATAAGCGCCAAGTATGGTATCATAAAATTTCTATACTTAGACGTGCGAGCATACAGTTTTCTGAAGTTACTTCTTGTTCTACCTGAGGAGATGCAAGGTGGAAGCTGTGGGTGAAGTGGATGCTCCAAGTCAGACAAAATCCCTTTAGCAAATTTACTGCACGAAGTCAAATGCCTATCGACAACGACGTTAACTATGTAGTCCACTGGGACACCACTCATCCTACTGACAGTCTTCAGCATTCTATTAATTGTGACAAAGTCCATTTTAAGCAAACCAGGAAAGAATAAGGGTGAACAATAAAGAAGAATAGGTAGGATGCAAGAGTTTATGAACTGTAAGAGGAGGGGTTGAGTTATACCCGAGTGCCTTAACTTCTTAATGTAAAATGTCAGGCGGAATATTTTACTGGAGATCGCTGAGACATGGGAAGACCAGGAGAGATCAGAAGAGAGAATAAGTCGAAGATACTTAATTTCTGATTTAATTCCTATATCACTGTCATCAATCTTACAACTGTCATGAGAATCGACGGCTTCTTTTAACTGTCGTTTACATCTTAAGCTGAAATTAACAGTTTGACATTTAGAAGGATTCAGTTTAAGACCGTTAGACTCAGACCATTTACTGACTTCTGACAGAAAGCTATTTATTTTGGTACAATCTAGCTGGGAGTTAACAGCCATTGAAACAGTTAAATCATTAGCTTACTTCACAAAGTTTATTTCATCAGACTGAGGCAAGTCATATAAGAAGAAGGAAAAAAGAAAAGGAGAAAGGACAGCGCCTTGAGGGACATCAGCTTCAGTAGTCAGTGAAGTGGAAGACTTCCCTTTATACGCGGTGTACTGCTTTCTTTCTGAGAAATAAGTATACTCATTCTACTTTGTGTCAGTATTATCGAAGTGTGTGAATGGTGATTGATGAGGGGTAAGTGAGCATTGGATACTTTCATTTATATACTACGATAATCTAAAACTATTGGTCCGAGGCATTTGTGTCAAGAGAAATTATGCTGTTTCTTGTATACTACTAAATTTTGGTGTGAGTAAGTTGAGAGGAATCACCAGAAATAAGAATTGAAGTTCACTGGAGTGCTTTAATTTTCTAGAGCATGATAGAAAATTGAAATATAAACAACTGAGCTACATTGTTCACCCTAGGAATTCCATTCTCGGCAAATTCTCTCCGATCTAATAAGAAAGTTTTTTCGGCATTTTCCAATGAATGAAAAACAAAACGATATTGTTGTTTTTACCAGCGTTTCGCTATTCACTGCTGCCAATAGCCTAATCAATTTACAAAATCGCAGTTTATATATAACAACTTAATCATTGTTCCTCAGCATGGGGTGAAATCGGCCAACTGGTAAAGATAACAAACCATGTGTAGACTATTGGATTTAATCAGTGTGTTAAATTATAAAAGCAGTGTGTGTCTACATAATGAAACTGCTCATTACATTCGTGTTTATTTTGTCAATTCATGGAGGGGGGTGTTGTAACCAGGTCAGATTCTGGTTTAATAATATTTTGATGAAGCTTTTAGCATTATATTGCGAAATTTCAGTAAAAAAAACAATATCGTTTTGTTTCTCATTCACTGGGAAATACAAAAAACTTTTATTGTAATGAATATCGTATGCGCAATGCCCAAATTTTTTCAAACTATTAAATATGAACTTGGTTTTGGACGCATATATCTCCGATCTAATTTGTTTTTAATTTTATTTCCTCTTCCCGATTGTTTGATTAGAGTTACACGTTAGAACTTTTTCAACATGTCTGCTCTTAGTACTGAGGCTTCAGCGATGTCTGAGAATTGACTTGAAGTAATTAAATGGATGGAGACTAGCAGCGGACCATGGATCTCTTCTGTGGAATTCAATGCTCAACTACTTGTCGAAGTTAAAACCGATCACTAAGTAAATGCCAGCTAAGGTTAAATATAAACTGGCTTATATTGTCAGTCAGTGAAGAGTATCGCCTATTCATGTGCGTCGGTGGCACAGTGGTTAGGACTCTCGCCGACCATGCACATGGTCCGGGGTTCGAACCCCTGCCGGCGCACACCCGATATCTATGGTATGCCTGAATTTGGGCAACCGATATCCATGCTGAAAGTTCCACACTTGTACTGAAAATACGGTGTGGAAATCAAGCTGTAAATCAAAAAAAAAAAAATTTGTAAACAAATATAATCAGATTACAACTAGAAAGGTTTATTTTTATGTCTAGATGAATAGAGTTCACATAGTATTTCTGTTAGAGATTATCTTAGCTGATGTCTTCATCAAATGCCTAAGGAACGTCGAATTTTCATCTACATAAAAGATATATAGATGATAGTTTAACGGTGGAACTTGGTAGTGTTAGTTAGATGAATTGTTTATGTGGCAAAATAGCATGCAGTTAAGGAAAATTGCAGAAAAGTTTCACTGAAACCCCCCTTTTGCATATGATTTTCGGATTGTGCTTCTTTTTTTTCCTTTTATGCTTTCTATATCACTTCATAGGTATCTTTAATTTCTCCTCTTCGCAACCTAATCTGTCCCTCCACTATTCAATATACTTGCAGAAGAGATCATCTACAATATACTACTTACAAAATCTTGTCAGTAGCTTACGACACAATAATTTGATTGGTTATGGTGAGAAATGGTCTACTTCTGAAATTCTTTAATGATACAACTGTAATCACATACTCTTAAGTTGCATTACTGATGAGGATTTGAAATCTTCATTTCGTTTCTTACATGCTATACGAAAGCAGAGAAATGTTGGTTCATTGTAGATAGCATTCTAATGAAAACGAGGACAAATACTCGCCGAAGACATTGGCTAGGGGTCGCGCTATGTCGTGAATTAGCAGAAGTTAGAATTCATGAACAGGCCATTGGATCAGGTCCCAGTGGCTTAATGGTCAATGAGCTCGCCTTGTAACTAGAAGGTCCTGGGTTCGAATCCCGGGGGTGCGTACTGATGAAGAGTCCCAAACTAGGCTGGCGAAACAGCTGTCCAGTGCTCCCAGGCAGTTTTCCAATGGTTCTGTAACTGATGTCAGATCATGATGAAATCCTCCAACTAATCAAACAAAATTCCGTATAAAACCAATACTCGAAAACTTTTACTACATTATCATTATTATTATTATTAAATAGTACAGCTGATTTCATCGCAAATAACCGTCTTTTAACTATGCGTAACTCAAGGAATTTCCGGTTGGCTATACAGTGGAAAGCATAGATTATTTTCATTTCATAGCACGTGGTTTTTGGTCTCCACACTCTCCCTCACTAAAGTCAGTTCGCGATCAATCGCAAAACAAGTAATAAAATCAAATTTACATTTTGCGTTGGTGGCACAGTGGTAGAATGCTCGCCAACAACGCCCCATATAGTCCAGGGTTCAATCCCCGACCACCGACGCCCCCATTTACCTCACTAAACCAGTAATAAGACTCCATTATTGGTAAATTTTATTTTGATAAAGTCTCACAGTGTTATACAGTAATATTTACTGATGACGTTTCGAGCACAATTTATTGCTCATAATCATATCAAGGTAATCACACGACTTCCTAAATTCATTTATATAGTTCCATTGTTTTTCACTTGATTTTCACTTGATTTGATTGGTAGTAATATTTCCCATATTTCGGGTATGAGTGGTGATGAAATAAATGATGAAATGAAACAGATAGAAGAGGCGTTGGTGTTAAATAACTATCCTATAAAATTCATTAGGAAGATTAAAAAAGGCCAAAATAAAAATAATTGTGAAACTAGTAATAATAACATAAATAAGAGAGAATATAAGTCATCTACAGTCATACCATATAAAGAGGGGACATCTGAGACCCTACGTAGGATTCTAAATAAAGCAGGAATTAGGGTGGCATTTAAACCTACAAACTCACTCAGGGACAAGCTCTGTAGGTTAAAGGACCCAGTTGACCCAATTAGACAAAATGATATAATTTACAAAATACCCTGCAATGACTGTGAGTTAGGACAACTACATAGGTCAAACTAGTAGGTCAGGGGTAGTCAGATTGTCAGAACATAAGAATTTAGCTAAGGTAAGAATGGTTGACCCAGAGAAGATAAGTAATTTAGAAAAAAGCTCGGCAATTGCAATGCATGCATTAACACACAACCACACAATAGGGTGGGAGAGGGTTAAAATTCTAAGGAGTAATCTAGGTAGGTGGAGAGAGAGATTGATTACTGAATCTTTGTTCATCGAATCTACACCCAACACATGCAAAAGAAATGATTCATCACTCATACCTGAAATATGGAAAATATTACTACAAATCAAATCAAGTGAAAATCAAGTGAAAAACAATGGAACTATATAGATGAATTTAGGAAGTCGTGTGATTACCTTGATATGATTATGAGCAATAAATTGTGCTCGAAACGTCATCAGTAAATATTACTGTATAACACTGTGAGACTTTATCAAAATAAATTTTACCCATAATGGAATTACACTCTACCACAGTGCCAAAGTTTTATTCTTATATCAGTAATAAGACTGGTAAAGAGGGAAAGCTGGGCATGAGGCTATCAACCCGATCCCGTGAAAATAAAAAACACCACTGCTACAGGAATTTCAAGCCTCTAGTTTGAAGCCCTATGTTCCAGAACTGGGAAAGTATAGGAATAAAAACGATTTTTTTAAAAAAAAAACACTTAAATTAAGTACAAGTTATTTCCTTATATTCCACATCTACTATAGAATTTATTACAATTATTCACAATTAGAAAGAAATACCAAACAATACAGAAGTAGACAGCATCCCATCATGGGGGAAAAATAAAACTTTGCTTGTGTGCATTTTGAAAAATTAAATACAAGATTATTTATCGAAAGTTAACACACTTCATAACTGGTATGATACAGTGGAAAACACTTCCTATCTAAATATGACTACGTGAACAGAATAATCTAGAATAGAAGGTTGTATTAAATTGCCCACTTAATTCTCCCGTCACCTGTTCACTTTTCAATTTTTTCAATATCCAATACTCTAAACAATCATAGGCAAAATCATAAAATCCAAGATTGAATTTATTAGCGAAAAATTCTGGCCTCTGTGTAAATTCATGCAAGTGTTGTACACCAAATATGCATATTCCACGAACTAAACGTTTTGATGCACAATAATTCGGCCACCATAATTTATATCGTGCAACAAATAGTGATCGAGAATTTTTTGTATTCGATTGATGAATTTTAAGACATGCACCAGGAGCACCAAGTTGTGGATTGTAAACAAGTGTACTGAAAAGCATTTCATCGGGTACTTTTAATAGAGGCTCTTCTTCTTTGAGTATACTTAATAATTCAAGGGAATGTTTATCATGCAGTATATAGTTAACCATATCACGTCGTAGAACAGCGTGAAAACTTCCTTTTATCCATGTGACCTATTGTAAAAATAAATAAGGTTTGATAAAATTCATTAGCATAAGATTAAATGTTAGTTATTGTCTAAGACATATGTAATGTATTACACTTCAAGTGGGTCATTCTCCCAGCTTTAAATCATTATCAGTCACTGCTCAAATTACATGCCTTTTACTTCAATATTTTTTTATTCCTTCACCTTCCCCAGTGGAACATAGGGCTCCAAGCTAGAGGCTTGAAGTTTCTGTAGCAGTGTTTATTTTTACAGGATGGGGTTGCTAGCCTCATGCCCAACCTTTCCTATTCTCCAATTAATGCTGGCTTAGCGAGGTAAATGAGGGCGTCGGTGGCCGGGAATCGAACCCCGGACTATGTGCATGGTCGGCGAGCGTCCTATTCGCTATGCCACCGACGCACATTACTTCACTACTGTTGTAAGCAACTTCAAAGATAGTCACCTTTTTCACTTATCCAAGCAGCAAAGTTTCAACTACGGGTGACGTTTCCGATGACAACGTCAAAACCAGGATAAGAAAGGAAAAAGAGACCTTTCCTGCACTGCACTCAGCATTTTTTTATTCCTTTACGTTCCCAGTGGAACATAAGGCTTCAAACTTCTAGCTTGAAGTTTCAGTAGCAGTGGTGTTTACTTTTACAGGATGAAGTTGCTAGCCTCATGCTCAACCTTCCTTCTCTACCAGTCTCATTACTGGCTTAATGAGGTAAAGGGAAAGCGTCGGTGATCGGGGATTGAACCCTGGACTACATGAGGCGTTGTTGGCGAGCATCCTACCGCTGTACCACCGACGCACTTTCCTTATTCTACCTGGACCACGCGTTCCCCGACAGCTCATCCATATCGGCGCCGTGCTTAGCGTGGATGCCCAATCAACATGAGCACTCATATGCCAGAACACCCGGCCCCGCGAAATTCCGCAGCCTGGCCTCCAAGTAGCTAGATTACAGGCGTACACTACCACACCCAGCCGCGCTCAGCATAAACAACAAAATTTGGATTTTCAATACCATAGTTAATTTAGTCAGATCTTCTATATAGGTCAGAGATTTAAATTGTCAGCAAAAGCATTCCCACCAGGTCACTACGAAGTTTCATCTACAACTGCCTTCTCTGTTTCTCTACTGCAGATCAACTGACCAGAAAGAATAAGCAACGAAGAACTCAGGAAACGAACGAACCAAGAACCGAATGATCAACAAATATGTGGAAGTAAATGCAGATGGATAGGATACATGCATTGAGTGATATCAAGTGTAAGACAGGCTTTGAGTAGAACTCGAATGAAAAACAGTGAGTCGAACGTGAACCCAAGGGTAACATCGAGGAGAACAAGGCTTATAGGAAATCGTGTAGGCAGCTATACAGGACTGTAGAGAACACGGTGAAGTTGAGATGTGCTGTTGGAGCCCTGCGTTCGACCCGGAATCGAAGGGAATACTAATAAATACAGTTTTACAATTGGTATCCAATTATTTTTTTAAAGATTACTTTCATTATGAATCAATAAACAAGCATTTAGGATAACCAATACAGACCAATACTTGAATATCAATGAGATGCTCACTAGCGACTGACCCTATTCAGGTAGGCAGTTAACCGGGGTTCTAGTAAGAAGTCATGACCAGTAGGGTGCAGCAGGTAGGGGGTGAGAACAAATACTCTCCGAAGATATTGGCTAGCGGTCACGCTATGTCGTGAATTGGCAGAAGTTGGAATTTATGGACTGGCCATTGGATCGGGTCCCAGTGGCTTAATGGTCTACGAGCTCGCTGGCCTTGTAACCAGAAGGTCCTGGGTTCGAACTGTGGTGGTGGGTGAGAACTGCTGAAGCGTCCCAAACTAGGCTGACGAAACAGTGGGCTGTCCAGTAATCTCAGGTTGTTTTCCAGTGGTTCTCTAACCGATGTCAGCTCATGATGAAATCCTGCAACCTTTTGGGAATTATTAGATTGAATAAAATAAAGTTTTGAAGAGAATTTACCTTTCACTTTCCATGTTAAAAGACTAATTTGAAGAAATACCTTCACGAATAACTCTTTGAATTAGTAAACAGTGTAGGATTTTCTATTGAACGACCAGTCAGGGTGCGACAAAACACATGTTTACTAGCGGAAAATTTTTAGGCATATCTGAATTGTAATTATTTTGTATTAATTTGACTAACTTATATTCACTTTGAAATAAGAATTGAGAACAAATTTTTCAAACATAGGCATTTAAATGAATTTCTTTATTATTATTATTGTATCCTTTAATTCCTAGAGGAACATAGGGCTTCAGCCGTGCGTCTCCATTGCGTTCGGTTCTCTGCTAGAGTCTTCACCTGGCTCCAAGTCTGCCCACACGTTTTCATCTCCTCTTCACATGACCTCCTCCAAGTCACCCTCACACTGACGACCAACTCGCCGCTTCCCTTTCGGGTTCCACTCGAGCGATGGCTTGTCTAGTGATCTCACTTGATGGCTTCCTCAGAGTATGGCCAATCCATCTCCATTTCCTTCTGCATATTTGTTTCACAATCGGTTCCTGGTTGGTTTGCTCCCAGTGATCTCTGTTGCTGATCTTTTCTGGCCATCTGATCTTGAGTATTGAGTGAAGACAACTGTTAATGAAGGTCTGTAGTTTTTTTGAGATGCTCTTTATGACGCGCCAAGTCTTTATTGGCTATGTATTATATAGTAAGACGGTATTATCTACTGGATGACGAAGTTTCGACCACAGTTTATTTTGGTTCGCAAATATTATAACTACACAACTCCGAAACTTGATTTTTGTAGTTCTCCTTCTTCCTTCCCATTTGTGCTACGCGTGGTAGAATTTTCCAAATGTCAAGATGGATAGGTGATGAATCATTTCTATTGCATGTATTCTCGGTTGATTCGAGAAATAAAGCTTCAATTATCGACATTTTCCTCCACTGTGTTACTTTAGATTTTAAGACTGCATGTAGTGTAACGTGATGGCTGAGTTATTCTCTATGAGTCTTATTTTATTATGGTCAACTAATCTAGATTTCGTTAGGATTTTGTGCTCCACTAATCTACTTGACCGTAACCTACAAATTTGATCTGTGTATTTGACCCCACTCATATTCACTGCACAATATTAGATAAACCAAATTATTTTGTTCAGTGGGCTCCATAGGATTCCTTAACTAACAGCTATAGCACTATATGCATTTACGTGCAAACTTTCAATGGGATGGGGTAAGGTGACAATCTTAAAATTTAATATAACAGAATGTAGGGAGAAATTGATAATTGAAGCTTTATTTATCGAATCAGCTGAGAATACGTGTAACAGGAATGATTCAACATCTGTCTCGGACTCCTGAAAAGTTCTACAACCATCCTACGACAAACTGGAAGAAAGAAAGGGGGCTATAAAAGTCATTTTTCAATGTTCTATGTCTACAAATTATGATATCATTATGAAAAATAATAAATTATCTTCGAAACTTTGTCATCCAGTAGATAATACTGTTCTACTATGTGATACATATCCAATAAACAGATGAATGTGGGATTATTTACTACCAAGCTGTCCAAGCTTTATGCATATATTGGCGTAGCCATTCATTTTCGCTTACTGTAAATAGAATAAAACCCTAGTACACCTCATCCACTTAAGTGTAATGACCTGTATTACATACAAAGTAAATTAGTTAGATTATACTCTGTAAAACAGATTTCGTAAATGAATTCAAGGAGTTTAACAAAGAATTTTTCATACTGTATACGTTTCAGAAGAAACCAACGAAATTAAATAGTAGTATCATATTGTTCTGCTCAAACCTCTGGTTTAGCTCTAGCTTAGTGGGACAGTAGAATTCCACTGTATCATATATCTCCGAAACAATACTGTTGTACAATGTTATCCCGAAAACAGCCTCAAAATAATAGTATGTTGTCATTTTCATCTTTTTATTACTTGTCACATTTAATGTAAGATATTAATAATACTGTGCAACGGTAGTCCACTGGTAGTGTGGTGAGTGCTACTTATAATCCGATATAAGTAGTATATCAGGAACGAAGTAACAACATGTTTGGCACACTGGAAAGAGCATTTAAAGAAGAGAACCATGAGAAGAATGTTGCCATATGATGCAGAATCCAAGAAGCTATCGAATGAGATGATATTCGACCAATTCGTCAAGGATGTGGTAAAGATGTGCAAATAGCCGGTTGAGAATATGGTATTCCAAATTTAGCTATGTACCATACGTTTCGTCAGATAAACATTCCTTTCAGTCTCCTCAGTCTTGTCTTCTTTACATTTGGTGTCGCTGCCTCTGCCGGAGATGAAGGTGCCTTGGCCGCAGGTGTTCGAGGAGGGAGATGTGCGGACGTTCCTCAGGGACTTCGAAGCTGTCGCGGAGCTGGTTGGAGTGCAGGAGCAGAAGGCGAAGCTGGTTGTCTTGGGGACGCTGCTGAGGGGCCGCGCGAAGGCTGCGTACGACAACGCTCGGGAGCTGGAAGGTGAGGCGGCGTGGGACAAGGTCGTCGAGAGGCTCGTGTGCGAGTTCGACAGCCCTGCGGACAGACAAGAGGCACTGCAGAAGTTTCGGACGCTGAGACTTGGCCAGGATGGGGATCCGTTGGTTCTCGCAGTAACGCTGACGAATCACCTGCGACGCGCGTTACCCACCCTAGACGAAGATTCACGGGAGCAGTTGCTTGCATCTCAGTTCCTCGAATGCGTCCCGACAGATATCGCGCATCAGTTGCAGCTAGTTAACGCAGCTCAGCCAATGGATGTTTATGAAATGGCCAAGGTGACAAGGCAGATAATGACCTCGCATGTTGCTCCAGTGATGTCGGAGGGCCAAGATTCCAAGAAGATCGAAGACCAGATTGAAGAGTTGAAACAACAGGTTGCAGCTATGCAGATAAAGAAAAGAACAAACAACAGATGCTTTGCTTGCGGAGGAACCGGTCACTGGCAGAGAAACTGCCCGAAACGAAGGCAGAAAAACCTTAAACGATACAGTCTTCCTTCTTTTTCTCGCTCGCGTTTAGAGGTGGTCGGGTTAGTCGAAAGAGGTTCAGTGTACGGGAGATTACGGGTGAACGAAAAAGAAATAGTTTGTTTGATCGACACAGGGGCGGCAGTTTCGTTGATAGGTAGAGAACAGTGTAAGGAAATAAGGCCGTGCACATTAGCAGTTCAGACGGTAGGAGGACATCCGTTGCACATTCTTGGCGTTTCAGACTGCGTTGTAGAGATTGGAGCAGGGAAAATACGATATCCGTTTATTGTAACTTCTGATATAAGACGAACGATTTTGGGAGCAGACTTTCTCAGAGAAGTAGGAGCTGTAATCGATATGAAGAATAGAAAAGTGGTCACAAAACACGGGCAATTCGCGATACATGAGAATAGTGAAGTCGCTGAGGTGGAAACCACAACCATTGTTCCGCAAGATGCACCACGTCTAACCACGTTGATGAGTAAATATGCCGGTTTATTCACTAGTGATGGAGACCCATACGGTTATTGTGATAAGGTTAAGCATAACATCCCACTAAAGGATACGGGGAAGACAGTCTTTTCATCGCGACGAGTTCCGGTTCACCTTGAAGAAGAAGTTAACCGGCAAGTCAGAGAAATGTTAAACGACGGAATAATCGAAGAAGCCGACAGTCCGTACAGTTCGCCAATCCTTTTGGTGAAGAAAGCTAACGGGAAATATAGATTTTGTGTCGACTTTAGACAGCTGAATAGCCTCACCGAAGTGAAACAGTGTGCAATGCCTACCGTAACAGAAACTCTTGATCGCCTTCATAAAGCCAAGTTATTCACCGTGTTCGACCTACGATCGGGTTACTGGCAGATCCCAATAGCAGAAAGTGATCGAAGTAAAACAGCGTTCACAGTTGGGCAGAAACAATACCAGTTTAAACGAATGCCATTTGGATTGGTTGGTGCCCCATTTACATTCAGAAGATTAATGACCTTATTACTGAAGGGTCTGAAGAACGTAGAAGTATATGGAGATGACTTGGTGGTGTATAGTGAGACGGAAAGCGACCATATAGACCACATCGAAGCTATCTTAAAGAGAATTGATGACTTTGGATTGCGGATTAATAAGAACAAGTCCCAAATAGCTAAAAACACGGTTGTCCTCCTGGGTTACAAAGTGGGAAATGGTGAAATACGGCCATTGCCGGAGAAGATCCTGACGGTCAAAACCAGCGAAGTGCCAAATTCAAAGCGAAAGCTGAGACAGTTTTTGGGAAGAGCGGCATTCTACAGCCGATTTGTCAAGAATTTCAATGAGATAGCAAAACCACTATATACGTTGCTGAGTAACGCAAAATTCATGTGGACGGAAGAGGCACAGCAAACGTTTGAGCGAATTAAAGAGCTGTTAGATGGTCAACAGATGACGTTGAAACTGCCAGCGCCGGGGAAGCAGTTCACAGTTTCGACAGACGCCAGTGATTATGGTATAGGTGCTGTTTTAAGACAAGCAGATGGGGTTGTTGAATACGCTAGCCGTGTGTTGACACTTGCAGAACAGAAGTATTCTACGGTGGAAAAGGAGTGTTTAGCCATTGTTTGGGCACTAGAAAAATGGAGACCATATCTGATCGGCCGCCGATTCCACATTGAGACCGACCACAAACCTCTTCAGTGGTTGAAAACAGCACGGGATCCACGAGGGAAGTTATCACGATGGATGTTACGCCTACAAGAGTATGACTTCACGATTGGACATATTCCAGGAAAAGAAAATGTAATAGCTGACTATTTGTCGAGGTCAGATAATGAGACTGAACTACCAGAGGTAGCGTATGCAGTAAACGCTTTGGAGCAAGATCCCTTACAACTTGTTCGCCACCAGAAGTCGGATCCTACTCTTAAGGCAGTCATTCAGATGATACGTGAAGGGAAAGAAATTGAAACGGCAGCAGAGAATAGAGAGTTAAAGATGCTACTGCAGCAAAAACATAGACTCAAACTAAACGCTGCCGGAGTCTTAACTTGGAAAGCCAGTGATGGTAGCTGGGTTGCAGTGATACCAAAAAGCCTTCGTCGTGGGGTCATTCAAGAATGCCACCAACTAGCTCATACAGGAGTTGCACGAACATACGACCTAGTGAGCCAAAGTGCGTACTGGCCAAACATGAGAAGCGATATTGCAAACTACGTACTCGCTTGTCCACAGTGTCAATTGATGAAGGGTGATCGGTGCATTCGACCACAGCTACAAACGATACCCGTAACGGCGGTTGGTGACCTATGGTCCGTGGACATAATGGGTCCTTTCCCTCAAACAGCAAGTGGAAATCAATACATTTTAATGATGACAGAACACGCCACGCGGTGGGTAAATGCTGTAGCGATTCCAGATCAGCGCGCCAAGACCGTAACCGAGGCGGTTATTCGACATATTGTGGCGGATCATGGTGTACCAAAAATGATATTGACAGATCAAGGCCCCTGTTTTGAAAGTGAGGAGTTCAAGACTCGTCTGGAGGCACTGGGTATTAAGAGGATTAGAGCGACTCCGTATCATCCGCAGACAAACGGCTTAACCGAAAGGAACAATCGCACACTCAAGGAATGGCTAGCTGCGAAAAGAGGCAACTGGGAAACTGACTTACCGTTGGTATTACTAGCACATCGTGCCACAGTACAAGGGACAACAAAAAAGTCGCCTTTCCAGCTGATGTATGGGAGGAAACCACGCTTACCGGTGCACCATAAGACTTGGCCAACACAACAAAAATGGAACAGTAAGAGATGGACAAGTGAGCGGAAACAAGCTATTCAGAATATACAAGAGAAGCGCAAGATAGACATCGAAAATTATGGCAAGAAACAAATCAAAGCTTGGAAGCCGTTTGAAGTAGGTGACCAGGTGAAGTGTAGAGAACGAAAGTATACTACCGGCAGTGGGCCAGGATCAGGAAAGCTTTTGCCGAAGTGGGAGGGACCATATGTGGTCACATCGAGACGCGGTCCAGTGTACACAATAAAGAGAGGAGATAAAGAGAAAAGAGTAAACGCCAGTCTGCTACAAAGATGGAGAGAAGAATGTCAAGACAAGGTACCAGAAGAGCAGCAGGATGAAACGTCTGTGCGGCGATCAAGGCGGTTACAGGAGAGACTTTATAATGAGGGGGCGAGTGTGGTGAGTGCTACTTATAATCCGATATAAGTAGTATATCAGGAACGAAGTAAAACATGTTTGGCACACTGGAAAGAGCATTTAAAGAAGAGAACCATGAGAAGAATGTTGCCATATAATGCAGAATCCAAGAAGCTATCGAATGAGATGATATTCGACCAATTCGTCAAGGATGTGGTAAAGATGTGCAAATAGCCGGTTGAGAATATGGTATTCCAAATTTAGCTATGTACCATACGTTTCGTCAGATAAACATTCCTTTCAGTCTCCTCAGTCTTGTCTTCTTTACAGTAGAAAGCTCATTAACCATATACGTGGTTAGGGTCAGATTCTCAACAGGCCCACTCCTAAACCTCGCCCAACCGTCGGTAAACCTAGTAAAGAGGGAAGGTTGGACTTGAGGCTAGTTCCTCCCCACTGCCAGTTAAAAGAACACAACCACTAGTGAAACTTCAACGCACATTTTTAAAGCTCCCTGCTCCAATTGGAGCTTGAAAGAATCAGAAAAAAGTAATATTGCTATGCATATGATAAATATGTGGTAAGTACTTGGTTCTTTATAGTGGTTTGTGGTTTTCTATAGTTTGGTTTGTAAGCTATAGTTATGTTTTATGAGTTGATCACGGACTGATATCAGTTAGAGAACCATTGAAAACCAGGGAGTACTGGACAGCTGCTATTTCATCCTAGTTTGGGAATCATCGGCAGTACGCACCCACTGGGATTCGAACGCAGGACCTTCCGGTTACAAGGTAAGCTCGTATACCATTCAGCCACTGGGACCCGATTCTATGGCTCATGAATTCTAACTTCTACCAATTCGTGATTTCAGCGCGACCCCAACCATTGTCGTTGGTGGGACATCCATCCACACAAGTGACATCTAATTGGACCTCACTGGTCACGACTTCTCACTAGAACTCCAGGAAGCTCCATCCTGTAGCCAGTCACTCACTAGCGCGCATCAGATTAATTTTCTATAGTTTGGTTTGTAAGGGTTAGTTATTAAGTTTCGATAAAACACTAGGCAGAATATATTATTATCAAAACTCATTGAGTAAGTCCATAAAAATCTCACTTACTGGAAAACTTGGTTTCTTTTTAGGAAGTCTATGTTTTGGTCCATTTCTAGCAGAGAATTGTACAACATTAGACATATTCAATGCTTTTAAAGCAGCGACCAACTCCCAATTTGTACGCAATGGTAATTCTTTTCCATTAATATTAAATAAATACTTCCATTTAACATTTTGATTATTCAGTAGTATGTCAGCACAAATCAAAAAATTTTCAAGTACTGAATAATGTCCCCAGACGACTGGTATACTTTTGTCTCGACTGACAACTAGCACATTATTACCAAAACACTGAGATAATTCAACAACTTGTTGATAGAACCATTCTGGTGATTTCTTATCTACGTGTATACAATAGAGATTGTGTGGTCGATAAATTAACCGTAATAACCTGGCTATCCTTCCAACATCTTCATAAACAGAGATGGAGAATGCAATTGGATAAGCTTTCTCCTCTTTATTGACTTTAATAGGTTGTTCAATTAATTCCTTGAAGTTTTTACACGATTTCATTCCATTCCACTGACGATAAAGATCTTTACTTGTTGAATGTGTCTTGAATTTTCGCGCTACTGACTGAATTGGTGTTTGTTTTAAAAAGCTTTCACACATTTCAATCGAATCACTTTTCATGTTTTTATAAGCTGGTGTAATGTGATCATTATTTCGCCAATAGGTAAATACTACTAGTAGAAATAATGCTGTCGTGATGGTTAGAAAGATACTGAAAGAATTATCTCTTATAATAGAGTGAAATTGTCGAATAATGAAGAATTTTCTTGATTTTCTTTGTATGTATGATATCATTTTTGAGTATATTGTACTTCTGTTTTTTTTCTTGATAGATTCAAACTGAAAAACAAAATTCATTGAATATTTAGTTTAGATACACTTTTAAAAAAATGCAAATAACCGTGTATGGTTTTAATTTTTGTTTAATGGTCAGAGGTAATCGGCAGGAAGCCTTGGATGTGCTTGTTGGCGGTTGCCTGCAAGCCGTATATGTGAAGGAATCCATGTTTTCCAAGAGTTTTGAACCCATGTCCTCCAGTGCTGTAATTAGAGAAGTTACCACTGAGCTATTCGAATCTTGATTGGTTTCAAGGGAGTGATCAGTGCCACGAGTCTACTCCTTAGTGTATGGGGCAAACTGAATTTACCAATTTGAATGTACGTGTGAACACATATACATAGGAGGGAGAATTCATCGATCTCTGCAAGTGAAGGCTGGCTTCAGAGCATATTCCTAAATGGCTCTAAAAACAGAACCCATTAATGGTGAGAACAGGAGACCTAGCTCCTCTATTGCGAAACATATTATAGAGACAGGACATAAAATTGACGTTAACAGATCTTTTAAACCTATCTATAAAACGTGTTTGCGAGAGGGCGTATCCTAAAGTCTGTGGAAGTCCTAGCAATTAGAAAGTTTAAGCCACCTTTATGCGTTCAAAAGCGATTCGTCATCACATTAAACCTTCCTTGGTAAACTTTGTTTTGATACCATAGCAGATGTACTATTACCTCTGTTATTTGGTTTAGTGGTCTTCATTGTTACTTTGACCTTGAGTATATCCTTTAAACTTGACCTAAGTCTATTTTCTCCCCTCTTACCTCTTTATTAATTTCATATATATTCCTATGACAAGTCCGTATATGATCAGATTGTTCGAACTGTGTTGCGCAAATACATTACACGATTCAGACAAATTACGTCTTCTTATTCCTTTATCTGAATTACGTTAGTAAAGTTTGAGACATGGTTTGAATCTCAGAGGCGACATCATTTCCTTTGGTGTTGCAGATACGCCTTCTTAATTGGTTCTAAAAGACAGGAAACCAAGGTCCACTGCTTCCTGCCAATTGTTCCCAACAATCTAACATCAGTTCAGAGTGGACAGTGATGAAGAGCCACCTACCTCACTGACTACAATGCGAATTTGACTGATAGGATTCAACCTGTGACAACACTAAGGACTAGTTGTATGACATTGGTCATTCCCCAATCACCAGTCAACACATGGTTTTAATTTAAATCTGTGATTATTAAGGCAAAACGAGTAGCAAAAATATGAGATTTACCCTAGGAATGTCGTGTAATGATCACTTTGTTTTATGAACTGAAGGAGGATGAAATATACAGACCAGTGGATCTCAGCATGTTAAGTGAAAGTTCACCCCCATAAGACTCATTATCTGGTGATCATTTACCTGACTATTTATTTGTGTTTAATGTTCTTTTCTTTGTTTTAACAAACAGATTTTCGCGGTCCTTTCACAAAGTTTTCAGTTTAAAGTCAAGTTGTAATTGTCATAGACTAAGAATTTACAAAGTTAAAAGCTTTTCTTTTCATTCACGTGGATTCTATGGAGCAATGAAATGCATTCTACACTGCAAATCGATTATAAGAATCATTTTTCACTGTGTTAAATGTTCTCAATTAGTTAATCCTAATTTTGTGGATGATTATAGTTTCATGTTGGACAAACTCAGAGATATACAAGCACAAACTAATAATTTGGCCCAAGAGGCAGGATTTCAGGTGAACTTAGAGACGACATAGGTGACGAAGATTCTAGACGAATATTATCAAAAAATAATTATCATTAATGGGATAAATCTAAAGGAAATCGTTTGACTTCCTTACCTGACTTGGGCAGCGTCGTTTCAACAGGATAGGATCATGGAAAGCAAAACAAGTGTTTTTTTACAGGATTTTCATCATGAGCTGACATTAGTTAAAGAACCATTGGAAAACAACCTGGGAGTACTGGACAGCTGTTTCGTCCTAGTTTGGGACTCTTCATCAGTACGCACTCATCGTCAGGGTTCGAACCCAGGACCTTCTGGTTACAAGGCCAATGAGATCATAGACCACTAAGCCACTGGGACCCGATCCACTGGCCAGTCCATGAATTCTAACTTCTGCCAATTCACGACATAGCGTGACCGCTAGCCAATGTCTTCGGCGAGTATTTTTCCTCACACCTGACCTGCTGCACCCTACTGGTTACGACATCCCACTATTATCACTTTGTCTGTTACATCTTCAGTGAAAAATGACTTATGATTAGTTAATATACAAATCGTCGAATCAATTACCAAAAACGGTATAAAATAGCATTGGACTGAATTTCAACACTAATGCCACATCGACGCTTCTGTATGGTTCAGAGACAAGGAATGCGCGTCACTGCAGGCATTTATAACAACCTGCTGCATACTTTCACTATTATCTTCCTCTTCGGCCTAGATACTGAAGACCAGATAAGCAACAAGAAACCCTGACAGTCAGTGAATCAGCCAACAACCTATCGCACAAGAAATATACACGGGGGAAATGGAAATAAATTGAACAGATGCTGAGGCGACTACTTGCGAGACAGGACTTCGAATGAAATCCGCGTGAAAAGCACAGAGAGTTAGGCATGAATTCAAGGGTGACGTGATGGAGATCATGTGCAGAGCATAAGCATGGAAACATTTGCCGAACCCAGTAGAGATGTGCCACTGAGATCCTTGGTTCCAGTTGAAATACAAAGAATTATCAGGAAGAAGAGGATAGTGTCTATGAAAAATTGTTAAAGTGTATGCACAGGCTTAGTATTGCATCATGGAATGTCTTCAATCTTTAATTGATGTTTAGTAAACTAGTTGGATTATTTGATCAATTTAATGAAATTGCGACCCCAGTTTGATTTTAATCATTGAAGATGCGCGTCATATTATTTAACGAAAATGAACGTTTGAAAATTTCTTAGTAGATTTTTCAACAAATGAACAGTTTCATACAATAAATAATATAGGAACGTATTCTAACGTATCACTTCAGAGCAAACTCCTAAATTACCACAATAACGATAATTATAGTAATAATGAAACAGTATCATGGAACAGAGATCTCTGAGAGTGAACCGACCAGGAACCGATTGTGAAACAAATAGGCAGGAAGAAATGGAGATGGATTGGTCATACTCTGAGGAAACCATCAAGTGACATCAATAGACAAGCCATTGCTCGAGTGGAACCCGAAAGGGAAGCGGCGAGTTGGTCTTCAGTGCAAGGGTGATTTGGGGGAGGTGATGTGAAGAGGAGATGAAAACGTGTGGGCAGAGATGGAGCCAGGTGAAGACTCTAGCAGAGAACCGAACGCAATGGAGACGCATGGCTGAAGCCCTATGTTCCTCTAGGAATTAAAGGAAACAATGATAATAATAATGGAAACTAACCTCGCTGCACCATAGGACTATTAGTGAGCATCTTACTGGTCGTTTATCTGACTATCAGATAGGCTGTCAGTAGTTATATAATTTGAATCCTTATTGATGGATTTTCAGGCTAAGTTGTGGTTGCACACAACACGTTATAACACTTGGGCACTGTGGTAGAGTATAACTCCATTATACATAAGATTTTATTTTGATAAAACACAGTGTTGTTATACAGTAATATTAACTGATGACCATGTTTCGAGCACAAATTATTACCACTCATATTCATATCAAGTCACTCACACAACTCTTTACTTCATTTCTATTATTATTATTGTTCCATTGGGTTCCTAGTGGAACATAGGGCTTCAACTACACGTCTCCACTTGCTTCTGTCTTCTGCTGTACTTTTCACCTGCATCCATGTTAGTCCATACTGTTTCAGCTCCTCTTCACACGATCTCCTGCATGTCACTCTTGGACGTTCAACTCGCCGCTTCCCTTTTGGATTCCACTCGAGCTATGGCCTGACGCGCGATGTCACCCAGTGGTCTCCTCAGCGAGTGTCCAATCCATCTCCACTTTCTCCTGCATATTTGTTGGGCGATTGGTTCTTGTTTTGTTTGGTTGTTCCCATAGCTTCTTGTTGATGATTCTTTCCGGCCATCTGATCTTGAGTATACAACGAAGAGAGTTGTTGATGAAGGTCTGCAACAGGCTTTTGGAAATATTCTTTGTGACACACTGGCCAAGTTTCTGATCCGTATAGAAGAACTGACTGACTCGACGTTTGTATTGAAAATCCGAATTTCGTTGTTGATGCTGATTGACGAAGATTTCCAGATTGGTTTCAGGTTGATGAATGTGTTTCTCGCCTTCCCGATTCTCGATTTGACATGGTCCGTTCCTCGTGTAGTTGAGACAATGCTCCCTAGATAAGTGAATGAAGTAACCTCATTCAAATCCCTCCCGTTGCTGGTGATTGGCGCTGGATGTTGCTGCCATTACTTCATTTATATACTTGAGTGGAATTCATTAGACATTTGAGTAAAAATCAAAATAAGATTATGTACATACAGAAATGATACTAGTCTTTCCAATCTGATTGCATTTGATTGATAACACCAGTATTATTTCTGAATGTACATAATCTTAAATTGATGTTTACTCAAATGTCTAATGAATGAGGTAAAAAAGTTGTTTGAGTAACTTGATATGAATATGAGTGGCAATAATTTGTGCTCGAGACATGGTCATCAGTTAATATTACTGTATAACAAACACTGTGTGATTTATCAAAATAAAATCTTATCTATAATGACGTTTTAAACCTGTTTAGCTAATAGCCATCCATCTGACTGATGCTTATAGGAGATATGTATTTGAACATTTTGAAGCCATGAGGGCTATTTCACTACCCTGCCGAAAGACATCTCATTAAATGATATTTGTCCACGGTTGCTTCTAAAACCTTTCCACCTTTGCTAAAGGTCAA